TGGCTTCCAAAGGTTTCATTCTCATCACTTTAATGCATATATTTCTTTTAAATTGTTCAATCTAGCAAATGATTGAACTTGTCAAGTTATTTAGATATGTTACTCAAAATTATTATATATTACTTTAAGTGTTTAGCTCTTGAAATGGTTGATCATTTTATCCTTGAAGCTCATATTTTCTTGGTTTTCAACCAAAATGTTCAACAATAAAGGAAAGATTAAATAACTTACGGTATGTTCATATAACAAAAACAACTGCAGTTTTTGTATATTATATATGAAACTATGTGAAGGATTTTTAAAGTGAGGAAGAGAAGAGATTTGTCCTAGATCTGTTTAGATTAGGTGAAACAGTCTTTTAATAGAAATTAAACCTCCCGGGCTTGATGGGGAAGAATTTGCAGTCTGGGTTTAAAACAAGGAACAGTCATAGTTGACAAAGTCTGTAGCATTCTTTGGCAATATAAGGCTAAACTGAAGCGAGGCTCATTGGGACTGGAAAAGGTAGGTGACTGTGAGATTAGGTAATTGACTGTGCTGTTGATATGAATATGAAAAGTCTTGGGATAGTGGCAGAAGTTCCGATGAACAGTAAGACTTTAACCTAGGTGTCAAAATCTTTTTTTTTGAGATGGAGTCTCACTCTGTTGCCCAGTTTGGAGTACAGTGGCATGATCTCAGCTCACTGCAACCTCTGCCTTCTGGGTTCAAGTGATTCTCCTGTCTCTGCCTCCCGAGTAGCTGGGATTACAGGCACCCACCACCATGCTCAGCTGATTTTTTTCTGTGTGTGTGGTTTTAGTAAAGACAGGGTTTCACCATGTTGGCCAAGCTGGTCTCGAACTTCTGATCTCAAGTGATCTGCTTGCCTTGGCCTCCCAAAGTGCTGGGATTACAGGCATGAGCAACTGTGGCCACCTGAAATCTTCACAACCTGTATCAGGAGCAAGTTGGGAGGGCAAGAAGAAGAGATAGAGGATAGTATGACCCAGAAGCTTAAGGAAGGATAACAACACCAAAAAGGGATAGAGACTAATAAAGTTGAAAAGCCTCAGATTAAAAGTGGGTTCTGTTATTTATTTCTTTATTTAAAGAAGTTCATCCTACTGGTTTGAAATGGTTTGGAAGTTCCCTTGGAGTTAGGAGAATGTTAGCATCTTATTTCACTTGGTAGTACTTGTAGTAGGGGAGATAAGGTAATTTATTCTATAAACAAATGCTTGTAAGGAAAACAGGGGAGATAGGATTTGGACAGCTAAAAAGAAATGGTAAGACATTTCAGGCAAGCAAAGTCATATAAATATGAAAGTGGAGAAGACAAATACATCCAGTAATTTGATCAGATCGAGGTTTAAGGGAAAGGGAATAGGGAGGGATAATTGGAAAAAAATGATCAGCACCTGATTTTGGTGAATTTTGGTTATCACTTTGACCTGTAAGAGAGCAATTCTCTTTTATCCCTTGCCCCACTGTAATTCACTTGATAGCAAAAAACAAAACTTAAATATGGGATATACTGTCATCAGTAATCATTATCCTATGGAGAAATAAAAAACATGAAGTGTCATGTGCCTTAGCTTGTAATTTTATCTCTCTCTCTCTCTCTCTCTCTCCTAGTGATCTGAAATACTCAAGTGTGTTAGTTACATCAATCAGCCCAGTTAGGATGCCTTGCTTTAAGCAGTTGGAAACTATTAAAAATCTATGCTTTTAAAAATTTGAAAAAGGACTTGATAAAAGCAATACTTTACAAAATTAATCTAGAAGAGCTGTTCCAAATAGATTAAACATAAGAATAAGCAGGCATGAAGATGGTAAGTTGTTCAGTCAGGGGAAAAAGAAGGCTTGACAAAGCCCAGGGAATAATTGGAAATGATAGGTGAAAATGAAAGCATCAAATCCTCAACATAAAATAGATGACCACCATAGCTGTAGGTGAAACTGAGTTCTCAGAAGTTTGTCTTACAAGCAGGATAACATTAAAAATACTTAGCCATGTATACAGTAGGGTCATCTATTAGAGTTGGTGGACAACAAATCAGAAAGGACACCAGTTATAAAAAATAAGCATGACCTCTCTGGTCTAATTCCATTGAATAGCAGCCCTGTCTAAAAGATCCATGTGAATATCAAACAGTCAGGAAATTAATTGTGTTTTCAAAAGGAATATATTCCTTCTAAAGAATTTCATAAGCTTTCTAAAAATTGAGCTAGGTAATATGACAAAAGCCGCATGCAGCTTACAAATGGTTGGTAATGTTCAAATGCTATTTTGTAATCCCGGTAATTCTTCCTATCTAATGTAAATGCAAGACATTAATTCTCCTTATCTTTCTCTCCTTTTCTTTTCCCCTCCCTCTTTTTCTTCATTTATTTAACATTTGAATAAATGTTGAACATCTATAATTGAGCACCGTGTTTCCACTACAATAAAACAACCTAATTCTGTTATACTTACTTTTCACTCCAGATCTTTAATCTTCCCTTTAAAGTAGACTTGATATCTTGATGATTAAAAACAGGTAATTAATAAAAAAGAATTTTGTTTGCTGAGACATGAAACTGGCTTGTCATTCTTGGAAAGGTTATTAACATTTCATAGGTATAATATGCTTTGCTTACCCAATTTCATGGAATGAAAATATACCTTTTAAGACAGAATTCTAGAAAATAAGTTTTTAAGAACAAGAGCTTTCTATGAGTTATATTTTAACTGTTCAGGTAACCCAAAGGGTTAATGTTAATATAACAAATCATTATCATTTTCAGAATGGAAAAACAAAGACAGATAAAATTTTACATAAGTTTAAAGTGTTTATATTTATCTCCTAGATAGCTTATGTTAATGCAGTTCATTCACATGTAATGATTTAAGTTTTTTAGAAACTTGTGGTAAAATATGCATAGCATAAAATTTACCACTTCTATCATTTTTACTTGTATTATTCAGTGGCATTAAGTATAGTCACACTGTTATGTAACCACACCACTGTTAATCTCCAGAACTTTTTCATCTTCTCAAATTGAAACTCTGTACACGTTAAATGATAACTCTCCCTTCCCTCCAGCCCCTGGTAACCACTTTCTAATTTCTGTCTCTATGAATATGACTATTTTAGTTGCATATGCTTTTTTCAGTACTTTCTAAAGCATCTGGGCTAGACAGTTGAGAATAAATGTGGTGTCAATTAGTGGTTCATGTAAGAATAATGTGTGAGAATCAAAGTGCTTTTTTACCTCTTAACTACAGGATTCAGAATTCTTAGGCTCAAAACCTGAATCTCTTTTTCCTGTTAGTTCATAATAAAATTGAGCCCTTTATACTTTTTGGAATTTTACCTATAGTTAAATTATGTACTTTTAACTACAAAATGTGTAACGTGAGCACTACTCATAATCCCTTTCATAATGACTATCAGCTATGTCCTGAGCACCTTAGATACTGTATATCATTTTACTCTTCACAACAACTCAATGAAATATATAATGACCTGTTTTATAAGCATGGAAATGAAGACTGAGAGACTTTCAGTAGGTGGTTCAAGGCCACACAGCTGTTAAAAGCAAAGTCAAGAATTGAACTTAGGTCTGTGGCTCAGAAGCTCACACATACACTCTACTGGTAACTAAACAGTGATATGATAAAGGCAAAAAACATTTTTTTGGAACCCAAACTTTTGAAAATATATAATATTCAGTGTATTTCTTCTTTATAGAAATGCTTAATAGCAATGTCTGCTTCAATGTGACTTCCAGAAGTACAATATTAAAGTAAATATTTTAAATCACCTCAAACACCAATTCTGCCTTGCTTATCATCATGAAGAAAGAGAGTTTAAAATGAAGAAACACCGTTGTGTTCATTTGTAAACAATATTGCAACGAACTGTTTCTTAATTGCTCAGACTGTTGATAAATAATCCAGCCCTGCTGCTCTCCACAGACAATTTGCTTTGGATCAGACCAGGCAATTCAAACAACACTAATTACAGTGAAACCTTTTTATATGAATTTCTGTTTGTCAGGGGGCAGAAAGCCCCTTTATAAAGAGTTAAGGCACTTTATTCTGATTTTTGCCTGAAACATAATAGCTATTACCTGGGCTCAAGTTATAGTGAATAAATTTTGATTGAATAAAAATAAAGTTAAAAATATCTCATATGTATCTCATTGCTTTTATTGTTTATTGTACTGTCATGAATTATATTAATTTTATATTTTTAATTAAGAGAGCAGATGGGAAGCTTTATTTAAAGTAATATTTTCATTGAAATAAGCTACATTGTCAAATGATTTACTGAAACAGAAATTTGTATATTAATAGATAAATGTGTCTTCACTAGAGAGAAACCAACATTTCAGGAAGTCTTCACTATATCAAGGAATTTGCTTAACATGATATCGTTGTATTTATGATTTTATGGTGTTAAAATAAATGTTAAATGAAACAAAATTCCCAAGGATTACTCAGGAGGCAGCTACGTACATAACATTTTGCTTAGATAGTTGGAAGGCACAATTTTGCTCCATCACTGCATCCACATCCTTGAATGATTTTGACTGAAGACAGCATTTCTTTGAATTTTTCATTAAACTAGACGTCTTGAAATATGAATTCCTTTTATGTTTCTGTGAGTTTTGGCTAAAAGAACCCCAGTGAATAAATCATACAATACTACATGTCACCAGCACTTGTGAATATTTCTGCTTTGTTATTCTATCCTCAGTAGAGCACCATTGATTATCAAATGCAGCGGAGAGCATTTTATGATCATATATCTCCATTAGCTCCTAGTTTGACTACCATAGACTTTTCTGGTTAAGCTTGCATTATGTATTAGGAAGCCTATCTCTTCAATACAACGTTTGATTTTATTTTTCTAAGGCTAGAACTCTTATTATGTATTATGTATAAAGATTCTTATCTTTTATATGTAAAAATAGGCTGCACTGTCTTTGTGTAACTGAAATGTATGCCATCTTTTCTTCTTGATTCACAGGTAGCACATTATACTTTGAGGATGAATCTCTACAATGCAATGGCTGTCAGGGTAAATATTTCTTCACTTGTTAAACAAATGAAAAGTCAATTGTGCCCTGAATTTGCTTTTAATAAAATGAGCAAAGCAGAATAATGCAAATTTGATTGATATGCTAATGGTAAAGAGAGAAAGAGTATGTAGTTAAAAAGTTATGCTAAATAATTTTGGCAGTATTAAAAATTAGAGTAAAATGTAAAACATGTAATTATAAATGCTTATGTTTTAGAATGTTAAATATCCCTGAGCCATAACTAGAGAAAGATTTAAATATCAATGAAGTAATGTATTAGTTTTCATATGTCATATAGAATACATTGTGATAAATAGATGAACATGGTTCTGGAATATAAGATGCCTGCCCAATACAAATCAATTAGAAATTATTAATATGACTTAACAGTAATGAAGTCAGTTTCCAGCTTAGAAATTTTATTTCTATCATTTCTATGTTCATCTTTATGTGTTATTTTCCCAATAGAAAACTGAATTTAACAATTATGGAGCTTGAACTTGGTTTCTGCATTCATCTTGAGAATGGACACAACAAAAATATGATTTCCTTTGTTTAAGACAATAGGATAATAATGTAATTGCTAAGCTATTATAAATGGAGAAATTTCTTAAGTGAATTTTATTAGTGTCCTAAAAATCTATGTTACTTTATATTCTCCTTCATTAATCTGTTAGTTCTTCTGCAAATAATGGATTTTATTTTGAGTGAGTCAAGGTAGTAAAATCATTTCTGAAAGTGCTGGGGTAAACCATAGTGGACAAATTAACATTGTATTGACTATGTATTTTGCTTTGGAAAGAGGCTCTTTTTTGTTCAGGTCAGTGTACTGGTCGTCTAGCCAGCTCACTGTAGTATTTCTTCATCTTCCTTTCTGCTTGCTCTCTTGGAGTTTGAGAAAAAATGTAAAAGGAAGTCAATCTTCTTACTGCTTCTCTTGAGTCAGAGGCAGATACTCTAACTGCAATGGGCTATTTACTTTTCTCAGTAATATTCATATAGGAAAACAATTCAGTTTTTTTCTTTCAATGGGAATACTTTGGTCTGGGAATGTCAGAGATTTTGTATAGCTTCGCTATAAGCTTAACCTCTGAGACTAAAACATCACTGATTCTTTTTTGCTTACTTTATGTCAGATGTGTCTCCAAAGTAAAAAACCATAGATGACTGAGAACATAAAGCAGCTAACGACCATTTAGCTATCTCCACTGATCAGCAGGGGAGATTGTAGAAGGAGATGCTTCCTCTCCTCTGCTACTAGGGAGAAGTACAGAAGACAGGGTTAGAAAGTTGCATACTTTTGTGTATTATTTCACCTCAAACCTTCATATGGAGTTCTGGTCTGGCTTTAATCATTAAGGTTTCTTTTACCTAGACTAAACATATGTAAGAAATTCACATCAATACGAGTCCCTTGGAAGGTAGTTTTTTATTTATTTCAACGTATACTAAAAGCTCGATTTTCCAGTAGCATCATTCAATATTTGATTAATGTCAGTGGACTTAGGGAAAGAACCAGTCAATCTTATTATGTTGAAAGCAAAAAATGCAAGCTGGAAAAATTGTGAAATGCTGCCCAGTAAATAAGGAGGAGGAGGAGGAGGAGAAGGAAAAAAACAACAATCACTCAATCTAATTATGTTGAAAGCATAAAATCCAAACTAGAAAAATTGTGAATTGTTTCTGGTGGAAGGAGGACAAGGAGGAATAAAAGGAGAAGAAGTAGGAGAAAACAATCAGTCAATCTTATTATGGTGAAAAAATAAAATTCAAGCTATGTAAATTGTGAATTGCTTCCCAAAGGAGGAGGAGGAGGAGGAGGAGGAGGAGGAGGAAATGGTGAAGGATAAAGAAGAAAGAATCAGTGAATCTTATTAAGTTGGAAGAATAAAATCCAACTTGAAAAGCTGTGAATTGCTGCCGAGTGGAGAAGGAGGATGAGGTGAAGGAGAAGGAGGAGGAGGAAAGAATCAGTCAATCTTATTTTAATGAAGGATTAAAATCCAAGCTAAAAAACTTGTTAATTGCTGACAAGAGCAGGAGGAAAAAAAGGAGGAAGAGGAGAAAACAATCATTTAATCTTATCATGTTAAAAGAATTATATCCAAGCTAGAAATATTGTGAATTGCTGGCAGAATGAGGAGAAGTAGGAGGAGAAAGAACAAAAGGAGGAGGAGGAGAAGGAGGAGGAGGAAACAAACAGTGAATCATATTATGTTTAAAGCATAAATGCAAAATAGAAAAATTGTGAATTGCTGCGAGAAGGAGGATAATAAGAAAAACGAGGAGGAGACAGAAGAGGAAACAGTCAGGCAATGTTATTATTTTTAAAGAATAAAATCCAGGCTATAAAAATTTTGAATCGCCAGAAAAAGGAAGAGGAGGAAAGAGTCAGTCAATCTTTGAGAAGAGTAGCACGTCTGCTGGGGGCTCTTGGCCAGCAAGAGGGTCCCAACCTGGATAGAGGATGTGCGGAAGATAAAAGATGACAGACAGAAGAAGGCTGCAGGGTTGAGAACCTATGCTTCGCCAACAACTTTATTGCACTCAGTGTCTGCTTTTAGATGTTACAACAAGAGTTGCTTCCATAAAACACAACAGGTATTTCCATGAGATAAAGGGGAACAGAAAGTTTTACCATGAAATCACAAGTCTCCTTACATCAGAGAAATATAACGGAATAAGTCACAAGGTAAGTTACACCCAGTTGTAAATACTTAACAATTGTAAATACTTAAGTCACAAGGTAAGTGAGTTACGCCCAGTAAATACTTAACAATTGTAAATACTTAAGTTAAGTCACAAGGTAAGTACGTTACACCCAGTAAATACTTAACAATTGTAAATACTTCAGTTAAGACACAAGGTAAGTTACTTATTCCCAGTTGTAAATACTTAAGAATAGAATCCAAGCTAGAGAAATTGTGAAATGCTGCCCAGAGGAGGAGAAGGAGAAAGAGGAGGAGGAGGTGGAGGAGGAAGAAGAGGAGGAGGAGCAGGAGAAGGACAAAGAGGAAAAGAAAGAAAAAATTCATCAAACTTATTGTGTTGAAAGAATAATATCCAAGCTAAAAATATTGTAAATTGCTGCCCGGAAGAGGAGGAAAAGGACAATGAGGAGGAGGACGAAAAAAGGAGGAGGAAGAAAGAATCAGTGAATCTTATTATGTTGAAAGCATTAATTTCAAGCTAGAAAAATTTTGAATTGCTGCCCGATGGAGGAGGAGGAGGAGGAGGAGGAAATAAGAACCAGTCAATTTTATTATGTTGAAAGCATTAAATAAAAGCAAGAAAAGTTGTGAATTTCTAACCAGTGGAGGAGGAGGAGGAGGAGGAGAAGGAGGAGGAAGGAACAATCAGTGAATCTTATGTTGGAACAATAAAATCCAACTAGAAAACCTGCGAATTGCTGCCCAGTGGGGGAGGATGAGGAGGCGGAGGAGGAGGAGGAGGTGGAGAAGGAGGAAAGAATCAGTAAATCTTATTATGCTGAAAGCATAAAATACAAGCTACAAAAATTGTGAATTGCTACCCAGTGGAAGAGGAGAAGGAGGAGGCGGTGGAGCAGGAGGAGGAAGAAACAATCAGTGAAACTTATTATGTTGGAAGAATAAAATCCAACTAGAAAAACATCAAATTGCTTTTCAGTTCAGAGGAGGAGGAGGAGGAGGAGGAAAAAGAAAGACTCAGTCAATCTTATTATGCTGAAAGCATAAAATACAAGCCAGAAAAATTGTGAATTGCTACCCAGTGGAGGAGGAGGAGGAGGAGGAGGAGGAGGAGGAGGAGGAGGAAGAAAGAATCAGTGAATCTTATTAAGTTGGAAGAATAAAGTCCAACTGAAAAAACTGTGATGTGCTGCCCAGTGGAGGAGGAGGAGGTGGAGAAGGAGGAGGAGGTGGTGGTGGAGGAGGAGGAGGAGGAGGAGGAGGAGGAGGAGGAAAGAATCAGTGAATCTTATTATGTTGAAAGCATAAAGTACAAGCTAGAAATATTGTGAATTTCTACCCAGTGGAAAAGAAGGACGAGGAGGAGGAGGAGGAGGAGGAGAAGGTGGTGGTGGCGGAGAAGAAGGAGGAAGAAAGAATCAGTGAATCTTATTATGTTGAAAGAATATAATCCAACTCTACGAACTGTGAATTGCTCCCCAGTTGACGAGGAGGAGGAGGCGGAGGAGGAGGAGAAAAGAATCAGTCAATAATATTATGTTGAAATCATTAATTTCAAGCTAAAAAATTTTTGAATTGCTGCCCAGTGGAGGAGGAGGAGGAGGTGGTGGTGGTGGAGGAGGAGGAGGAAAAAAGAATCAGAGAGTCTTATTAAGTTGGGAGAATAAAGTTCAACTGAAAAAACTGTGATTTGCAGCCCAGTGGAGGAGGAGAAGGAGGAGGAGGAGGAGGGGTAGGAGGAGGAGAAAAGAATCAGTCAATCTTATTATGTGGAAAGCATTAATTTCAAGCTATATAAATTTTGAATTGCTGCCCAGTGGAGGAGGAGGAGGAGGAGGAGGAGGAGGAGGAAGAGGACAAAAGAACCAGCCAATCTTATTATGTTAAAAGCAAAACATACAAGCTGGAAAAACTGTGAATTGCTGCCCAGTAAAGGAGGAGGAGGAGGAATAGGAGGAAACAATCAGTCAATCTTATCATGTTGAGAGAATTATATCCAAGCTAGAAATATTGTGAATTGCTGGCTGAATGAGGAGGAGGAGGAGGAGAAAGAACAAAAGAATGAGGAGGAGGAGGAGGAGGACGAGGAAACAGACAGTGAATTTTCTTATGTTTAAAGCCTAAATGCAAAATAGACAAATTGTGAATTGCTGCGAGGGGGAGAAGATGGAGAAAAAGGAGGAGGAGGAGGAAACAGTCAGTCAATGTTATTATGTTTAAAGAATAAAATCCAGGCTACAATAATTTTGAATTGCCAGAAGGAGGAGGAAGAGGAGGAAAGAGTCAGTCAATCTTTGAGAAGAGTAGCACGTCTGCTGGGGGCTCTTGGCCAGCAAGAGGGTCCCAACCTGGATAGGGGGTGTGCGAAAGATAACAAACAGGAGGAGTCTGCAGGGTTGAGAACCTATGCTTCGCCTACAACCTTATTGCGCTCAGTGTCTGCTTGTAGATGTTACAAGAAGAGTTGCTTCCATAAAACACAACAGGTATTTCCATGAGATAAAGGGGAACAGAAAGTTTTACCATGAAATCACAAGTCTCCTTGCATCAGAAAAATATAATGGAATACGTAAGTCACAAGGTAAGTTACACCCAGTTGTAAGTACTTAACAATTGTAAATACTTAAGTCACAAGGTGAGTAAGTTACTCCCAGTAAATACTTAACAATTGTAAATACTTAAGTCACAAGGTAAGTACGTTACACCCAGTAAATAATTAACAATTGTAAATACTTCAGTTAAGACACAAGGTAAGTTACTTATTCCCAGTTGTAAATACTTAAGAATAGAATCCAAGCTAGAGAAATTGTGAAATGCTGCCCAGAGGAGGAGAAGGAGAAAGACGAGGAGGAGGTGCAGTAGGAAGAAGAGGAGGAGGAGGAAAAGAAGGACAAAGAGGAAAAGAAAGAAAAAATTCATCAAACTTATTGTGTTGAAAGAATAATATCCAAACTACAAATATTGTAAATTGCTGCCCGGAAGAGGAGGAAAAGGACAAGGAGGAGGAGGTCGAAAAAAGGAGGAGGAAGAAAGAATCAGTGAATCTTATTATGTTGAAAGCATTAATTTCAAGCTAGAATAATTTTGAATTGCCCAGTGGAGGAGGAGGAGGAGGAGGAGGAGGAGGAGGAGGAGGAAGAGGAGGAGGAAGAGGAAATAAGAACCAGTCAATTTTATTATGTTGAAAGCAATAAATACAAGCAAGAAAAGTTGTGAATTTCTAACCAGTGGAGGAGGAGGAGGAGGAGGTGGTGGAGGAAAAGGAGGAAGAAACAATCAGTGAATCTTATGTTGGAACAATAAAATCCAACTAGAAAACCTGCAAATTGCTGCCCAGTGGAGGAGGATGTGGAGGCGGAGGAGGAGGAGGAGAAGGAGGAAAGAATCAATCTTATTATGCTGAAAGCATAAAATACAAGCTACAAAAATTGTGAATTGCTACCCAGTGGAAGAGGAGAAGGAGGAGGTGGTGGAGCAGGAGGAGGAAGAAACAATCAGTGAATCTTATTATGTTGGAAGAATAAAATCCAACTAGAAAAATTGCAAATTGCTTTTCAGTTCGGAGGAGGAGGAGGAGGAGCAGGAGGAGAAGGAGGAAAGAGAAAGACTCAATCTTATTATGCTGAAAGCATAAAATACAAGCCAGAAAAATTGTGAATGGCTACTTAGTGGAAAAGGAGGAGGAGGAGGAGGAGGAAGAAGAAGAAAGAATCAGTGAATCTTATTAAGTTGGAAGAATAAAGTCCAACTGAGAAAACTGATGTGCTGCCCAGTGGAGGAGGAGGAGGAGGTGGAGAAAAAGGAGGAGGAGGAGGAGGAGGAGGAGGAGGAGGAGGAGGAGGAGGAGGAGGAAAGAATCAGTGAATCTTATTATGTTGAAAGCATAAAGTACAAGCTAGAAAATATTGTGAATTTCTACCCAGTGGAAAAGAAGGACGAGGAGGAGGAGGAGGAGGAGGAGGAGGAGAAGGAAGAATCAGTGAATCTTATTATATTGAAAGAATATAATCCAACTCTAAGAACTGTGAATTGCTGCCCAGTTGAGGAGGAGCAGGAGGCAGAGGAGGCGGAGGAGGAGGAGGAGGAGAAAAGAATCAGTCAATCTTATTATGTTGAAATCATTAATTTCAAGCTATAAAAATTTTGAATTGCTGCTCAGTGGAGGAGGAGGAGGAAGAGGACAAAAGAACCAGCCAATCTTATTATGTTAAAAGCAAAAAATGCAAGCTGGAAAAACTGTGAATTGCTGCCCAGTAAAGGAGGAGGAGGAGGAGGAAGAGGAGGAAACAATCAGTCAATCTTATCATGTTGAAAGAATTATATCCAAGCTAGAAATATTGTGAATTGCTGGCTGAATGAGGAGGAGGAGGAGGAGAAAGAACAAAAGAATGAGGAGGAGGAGGAGGACGAGGAAACAAACAGTGAATTTTCTTATGTTTAAAGCCTAAATGCAAAATAGACAAATTGTGAATTGCTGCGAGGGGGAGAAGATGGAGAAAAAGGAGGAGGAGGAGGAAACAGTCAGTCAATGTTATTATGTTTAAAAAATAAAATCCAGGCTACAATAATTTTGAATTGCCAGAAGGAGGAGGAAGAGGAGGAAAGAGTCAGTCAATCTTTGAGAAGAGTAGCACGTCTGCTGGTGTCCCTTGGCCAGCAAGAGGGTCCCAACCTGGATAGGGGGTGTGCGAAAGATAAAAGATGACAGACAGGAGGAGTCTGCAGGGTTGAGAACCTATGCTTCGCCTACAACCTTATTGCGCTCAGTGTCTGCTTGTAGATGTTACAAGAAGAGTTGCTTTCATAAAACACAACAGGTATTTCCATGAGATAAAGGGGAACAGAAAGTTTTACCATGAAATCACAAGTCTCCTTACATCAGAAAAATATAATGGAATACGTAAGTCACAAGGTAAGTTACACCCAGTTGTAAGTACTTAACAATTGTAAATACTTAAGTCACAAGGTAAGTAAGTTACGCCCAGTAAATACTTAACAATTGTAAATACTTAAGTCACAAGGTAAGTTACTTATTCCCAATTGTAAATACTTAAGAATAGAATCCGAGCAAGAGAAATTGTGAAATGCTGCCCAGAGGAGGAGAAGGAGAAAGAGGAGGAGGAGGTGGAGGAGTAAGAAGAGGAGGAGGAGGAGGAGAAGGACAAAGAGGAAAAGAAAGAAAAAATTCATCAAACTTATTGTGTTGAAAGAATAATATCCAAGCTACAAATATTGCAAATTGCTGCCCGGAAGAGGAGAGAAAAGACAAGGAGGAGGAGGTTGAAAAAAGGAGGAGAAACAAAGAATCAGTGAATCTTATTATGTTGAAAGCATTAATTTCAAGCTAGAAAAATTTTGAATTGCTGCCCAGTGGAGGAGGAAAAGGGAAGAGGAGGAGGAGGAGGAGGAAATAAGAACCAGTCAATTTTATTATGTTGAAAGCAATAAATATAAGCTAGAAAAGTTGTGAATTTCTAACCAGTGGAGGAAAAGGAGGAGGAGGAGGAGAAGGTGGTGGAGGAGGAGGAGGAGGAAGAAACAATCAGTGAATCTTATGTTGGAAGAATAAAATCCAACTAGAAAACCTACGAATTGCTGCCCAGTGGAGGAGGATGAGGAGGCGGAGGAGGAGGAGGAGAAGGAGGAAAGAATCAATCTTATTATGCTGAAAGCATAAAATACAAGCTACAAAAATTGTGAATTGCTACCCAGTGGAAGAGGAGAAGGAGGAGGTGGTGGAGCAGGAGGAGGAAGAAACAATCAGTGAATCCTATGTTGGAAGAATAAAATCCAACTAGAAAAACTGCAAATTGCTTTTCAGTTCAAAGGAGGAGGAGGCGGCGGTGGCGGCGGCGGAGGCGAGGAGGAGGAGGAGGAGGAAAAGGAAAGACTCAGTCAATCTTATTATGCTGAAAGCATAAAATACAAGCCAGAACAATTGTGAATTGCTACCCAGTGGAGGTGGAGAAGGAGGAGGAGGAGGAGGAGGAGGTGGTGGTGGTGGAGTAGGAGGAGGAAGAAAGAATCAGTGAATCTTATTAAGTTGGAAGAATAAAGTCCAACTGAGAAAACTGACTTGCTGCCCAGTGGAGGAGGAGGTGGAGGAGGAGGAGGA